AGTGCGTGAGCTGGCAGGTGACCCCTGCCCGGCGCCAGCAAGGGGCATTCCCGTCAGGTCAGGCCGAGCCCTGGGGCTGACAGCGCAGGGGTCAGAACAGCTCAGGGAAACACAGGTTCCGCCACGCCCTCATGGACCGCAGAGACCAGGGACGGTAAGTAAAAGCAGGGACGGCTGAGCAGGACATCTTGGGTCACTCGAACACTCGGAACACTCAGGGTTCGGCATGACCTCAGCTCTGCGGCAGGTGTGGTTCTCCCCAGGTTCGTTCCCCGTTCAGTGTTCCCGGTGGCGTCACAGCGAGCTCAGTGAACAGCGGGCACCTAACGTGCACTTACAGCACAAAGTCGCACACGCGCTCCGGGCAGCCTCTGTGCGCTTACAGGCAGGGAACTACGAGGGCTGGCAGCTCCACCTCCACTGCCCCCGCCAGGAGGACCCGGGTCCCAGATCCATATCCCCAAGTGCATCAAGAGAAACAGACCTAACGAGCTAGCACTAGCGGGAGCAAGGCAGACGCGCGCTAATCTGGGTAGCTGCTTCCTGCCGCCTCGACCTCCTCCAGCGAGTAATAAGCACATTCAAGGGGCTCGAATTCCAGCTAGCTGGCTTTGGAGACAAGTGTTCTTTTCAAAAATGCGGGAAATGAAACCCCAACACCCTCCTGCCTCTTCAAATCAATGCTATTGTTCCTGCTCCAATCACTTATCTCAAAGCCAGGGTGACGCGTACGCTCTGTCAATAGGAAAAATGAAAGGTAGCCTCTCGGGGGCGGGGAAGAGGATGGAAATCTACAGGGGGCACGCCACACTGTCATCCTTCTGCAGAGCCACGGACAGGCTGACCCCCGGCCATACTCACCCGCACGACCACCACTTGCACAGAGACGTGTTCGGGGAGGCGGATCGGGGCCCGGAAGTGCGTGGCCAGGGCGACGAGCAGGTGGAGGATGGCCACCAGGTTCTTGCCGTGGATTGCTGGTGGGAGTGAAGAAGGGAGAGGCCTCAGACTGGGCTGCACGGGATCCCGCACCCGGGTCTTAGGGGCAATGAAGACGCTGAGACCTGAGAGGCCAGGCTGGAGCAGACCAGGGCCCAATGGAGCCGCAGTGGGTGAACGGGGCTGTGAGCGAGGCTGACCTGCTCAGGAAGGTTCTGGGTGTGATGCGGGGCTGGCTGCAGGGTCAGGACCCTGTGGGAGTGCTGTCTCTGCCTCTTTCTCTCTGTCTCACTCAAGGAAGAGACTAGTGAATAAACTAAGAGTCAATAAGCATCCTGGGTGGCTATTTCTAGTTCCTGATGCTTTTGCCCATTGGCCTAAGGTGATGAGTGCAATCACTTTTAAAAGCATGTTTTTAAAAGCCGTAAAGTGGGCGGAAACAGAAGGGAAGCAGGGCAGTAAAATCAGCACGATGAAGGGAAAAGATCATGAAAAGCAGGTCGGGGCTACACACTCCACATGGTGATCCTTGGCGCTAAAGCGGCTCCCCCTCTGTGCAGCCATGCCGATGGGGGAGACTGTCAAGGGCAGGCATTGGCTCCTGCCCGCCTACGTCCGTCCCCCATCACCACCAACCCTCTCCTAGGTCTCCGCGGTGTGCAGACTAAGGGTTGGTCACAACGTCCATGCAGTAGGACATCACAGTTCCCCACCCACGGCCCCCACAACCCACGAGGTAGGCTGAGCCCGGCCAAGTCTCTGCTGAGGATCCAGTGCAAGGTCATCGCCAGGGCCAGCGCCCACACCCGGAGGGCCCCGCCCGTGGGGAGCTGGGGAGCCACAGCCCAGCTGGGGAGGTGTGGACAGGACACTGGAGGACGTTCCAGCAGCTCTGGGTTCCATTTTTCACTTTCTGGGCTCATGTTATGGCTGGAGCTAAGTGTGATACCAAAATAACATCCTAATGCCGACGTGCCCCAGGCCTGGCCTGGGGGCCACCAGGGGAGCAGCTCACCCCGCCCGTGGGGAGCTGGGGAGCCACAGCCCAGCTGGGGAGGTGTGGACAGGACACTGGAGGACGTTCCAGCAGCTCTGGGTTCCATTTTTCACTTTCTGGGCTCATGTTATGGCTGGAGCTAAGTGTGATACCAAAATAACATCCTAATGCCGACGTGCCCCAGGCCTGGCCTGGGGGCCACCAGGGGAGCAGCTCACTGGTGAGGGTGCCACTGGCG